GAAGGAAATGAATTTTTATGGACATGTGACATAGTCGTCGCTTCTGTGGTTTCAAAAGAAATTATTGGATAGCGCTATAAAACACTTCCATGCACGTTTTTCTATAGAGCTTAGCTTGTTCAAAAAGGTCACTAAGCTCATAATTTTACGAATTTGAGGTCCTATGAAAATACGAAAAAGTATTAGATGATAGAATAAAAAATTAATACCTTCGTTTATTTTGGCTTCACTTAATTTTGGGAACAGCACTTAAAGGTGAAAAAAAGCGTTGCTATTTCCATAAGATTTTTTTACAATTAGGGGTATTCTCGGAGTCTTGCAAAGCCCTTGCACGGTGCATGGATTGCACGAAAAACACGGTTTTCCTATGGGACAGCTAGGCAAACCGTGCATCGTGTAAAGGCTTTGCAAGATTGTGAGAATACCCCTATAGTTTAATATATCTTAGGTTTAAATGCAGTGGTCGTAGGACAATATTTTGAGGTTTGGCCAACGGAACGTTTAAAACGTTTTTCCTGCCTATTTGATCTGGCTCTCGGAATGGCCATACTTTGCGATCATAGGAAACTTCAAATTGAAAAAGAAGCTGTCATGCAAACATTTTTCAGTTCAGAAATAATATTTTTGCAAAAATTTTGTTTTCATAAAAATTTTAATAACTCAGTAAACTTTCATCCGATTTTTTTAAATAAACACTCATTTTACTCGCTAGTTTTATATTAAATTTAGGACTAGTACGATTTTCTTATAAAATAGTGCGTAAGAGCCTCACCAAAGTTGAAAAAAGGTGAAAAAAGTAAAAAAAAATGTGTTTGCTGGGTTAATACACACAGATCTCTGAAGCTTTCTTTATTCGCATATACATATATCGTTCGAAAGGCCCAAGTTTCTTCAATTTAATCCCGGCAATAAACCGAAACTCGGTTCATAATGTACTGAGTTACAGGTTTATAAGTGTGCAAAAGTACGAAAACCCGGTTTTTTAACGGTAAATCAAGATTTTGGGGGTGTTTGGCAAATTTCATATTTCGATTCTAGTTTTACTCGAAAAAACCTACCAGAAAATATAAATAACTTCGCAGGTATTTTTTAGTGTCGCACAGTGTTATATGGGACTTTTATTGAAATTGATCTTCGAATTGAGTTCGGAGATTTGACGCGTTAAAATATTTAATTATATTATTATATTATATTAATTATATATTGTTCATTGTCATCAAATCTGTATCGTTCGTTCGATTTTACAAAATGAGGTGTCAAATTAAAGGGCTTTGCTTTTACGTGGTTTTAGGGCTTAGGATTGCCAGATGTTAGCAAATCAAATTGCAATCGAGCTCGGTGATGTTTGCGTTTAATTTCGTGAAATCGGCTGTACATGTACCCGATTCTATAAAGAGAAAACGTGGGACGTAAATCATTGTCGTCTTGAAATAAAGGTCACGATAGGCGAGAAAAATATAAATCCCATATAATTATTATGAAAGGACGTAAATAATTTCCATCTGAAAATAATCGTCCCGCGAGACGAATAAAGATATTTCTCGTAAATAATTATTATACAAAGACGAAAAAAATTCTCTTAAAATAAGGCGACGTTTTTGATCTCAAATATTACCATAATAATTATTTTGGGTCTCTGAATAAAAATGAATTACAAAAACTAAAATAGAAAAACGCTGATGAAGTTACAGATACCCCAAATTCTGAAACAGCCAAAGGAATGAGAATGAAGAATTCTTTTTAAAAAGCTTAAGAAAAACCTGACACCCCCGGTTTGGCTTGTAAGCGCTGATTAAACAACGATCTCGCCATTAAGCTAGATTCTAATTGTTTCTTAAAAATACTTTATATCCGCATTCGCATCCTCAGCTTTGGGGAAAGCCCGCCACCGCCAGCAGCATTTCCCTAAAACCATTTGGGGAATTTTTTTGCTGCTGCAACAAAAAACAACGGGGTTGTATCATATGGGGAGAGGTCTTAAATGAGTTGCTTTAATTGGGCATGTAATGAGGTGATTACTTGTTGTTGTTATAAGCGTAGAACCATTTAATCGCCAAGCTCAACTAACGATAGGCCCAGGAAACGTATTCTTTAGGAAGGTGACGATGTGATTGGTGTCGTGGGGAAGCCTACACGAGTCGGACACAGTACTTACATACATATGTTTGTTGTGTCGGGGTTGAGTCTGGATAGATGCGAGTTCAGTCGACTGCTGTAACCAGACCGTAATTGAGCCAGAGTTACGCGGGCCTTTCTCGAGAATTGAAGCTCACTTTATTCGACAGGTAGTGATTGTATTGCTATGGCGGCATTCATAGGATGGGAGTAAGTATAGGTGATAACATTCTCCCTGTGGGAGACGTTGATTTGCTGTCTATACGGTTAAGTGTATGGTCGGACCTCGTCCTTCAGTTTGCATAGATGCCAAACGTATTCCTACACGATGTTGTTGTTGTTGTTACAGCATAAAAATTCCCCAAACGAGTTTTTGGGAAGTGTTGCTGGAGTGATAGTTCTTGGCCAGATATAATTCTGGGTCGTTCCGGTTACGTAGCCCAGACTGTCGTGGAAACGATTCCCTCCGATCGTTTGACATGCTTTAATGCCAAAGAAATTGGCGCACGCTAAAGTCACACACTGCCTGCCGGGCAGTAGGCAGCTTCGGTTATGTAGACCTGACCATCGCGAGAAGGTGTCGTCAATCTGATTTAATGCTAGGCCCAGGAAATGGGCACCCCAAGGCAGCTGAGGCTTTTCCTCTGCATTCGGTGGTAATTGAACTCTAATGACGTCGTCCACGGGACGAGTGTTGGTGATAATAAATAGTCTCTCTGTGAATGTCGTTAATCGCCTGTCGGTACAACTCTTCGAAGTGCTGAGTTATTGCATGCTTGTAGATAGATAGATAGTTAATTAAAGCACTGCAACCGGTAGGTCTATTGTGCCCTTAGCTCATCACAAGTCCTCGTGAGCCCTGGAGACTCTATAAATTTCAGAATAGATCCCGGGGGGGCGCCCGTTGCTCCTCTGCAACGGCCTCACACTCTATAAGAAAGTGTAAATATGTCTCCATGGCAGCGTCAAAAAAGCGCCACAGGTCACTGGATCAGATTCCTAAACTATACAGGTGATCTCTTAGCCTGCAGTGGCCCGCTAAAATACCTGTAATGATTTTGAGTTTCTCCATGAGCAGCTTATATCTCTTCAGATTTTACCCTAATAATAAGCTTTTTTCCTGACGTAGACCCATTGTGGTACGCAAGTGCAGTTTCCTCAGTTTAGTATTTTCCTCTCTGAGCATTTATTGTATGGTGTTGGGACCCACTGCAAGGAAGAGATCTGGTCATATCGTGGTCGAACAGAAGCCGCTCTGGCGAACTGATCAGCTTCCTCATTTCTCCCGACACACATGTGCTCTGGTATTAATTGAATACCATTAACCTCAGCCAGAGCATTAAACATCTTTACACTCCAAAACCAAAAAGGACTTGATCTCGAATGATAAGAGAGCCTTAAGAGCCGCCTGACTATCTCTCGCAATTAGTATCCTCTCACTTCGGTAATTTCTTCGAATGTTAATCTAAGCACACAGACTTGTGGCATAGGCCTCCGCTTGAAAGGTGCTAGGGAAGGTTGTCAGGGGCACCGAAAGCTTCAGTCTGGTCCGTTCCGCTTCAGGTATTTTAAGGCGTCAGTATACCACTTCAGTGTGCTTCCCTGTATGTGACTATCCATAATAGAGGTACTCCAGGTCGTTAGATCTTACTCCGAGCCCCTTGCAGTTCAGTTGGAGTATTTTAGTTGGAGTATTTTAGTAAGAATTTTACCCGACTGGTGCCGCATTGCGGCATACACTGGCCTAACATAGGGAATAACGATGTGCTGTTTAGGACTGACACGAGAAGTACAGCAGGACGAAGATTAAGGAGAGTGAGAAAGGTGCGGGATTTTTTTCACTCAGGTGAAGCCTGTGGAGCCGTAGATGCTTAGTGGGTGACAGAGACCTTACCAGAAAAAAAATTGTCGTACACCCCTGAGCCTAATGCATTTTTGCATGGCAATTTCGATAAAGATTTTTAAATTTTTCGTTATATTTTTTGTGGATCTTAGATAATGATACATATATCGATGTCCTTGTCCCGAGGAGACCATTTTTTCTGCTCAAAAGTTCAGTGACTTAAAGTACCCCATTCTAGTACTTACCCACCAAATGTCAGTTCCTACCATCCTAATGTCAAATTAAAGCTCGCTTCTTTTGCTAAATAAGTATTTCGATGCGTAGGCAATTTCTTTTTTTTTTTTTTGCGCCGAATATAGGGGTCTCCTCAAAGAATTCCTCATCATATTTGGTATTTATAGTGGGATATGAAAGTATGATATTTCGATATTTTTTGTATCTAGGTGGTATTTTTTTTGTTAGAAAGTATTTTTTTTTTGTTAGAAAGTTCCTCAAGCACTTCGCTCTAGTACTTACTCACTAGATCTCAGTTCATAAAGAACCATCCTAATGCCAGTTAATTAAAGTTCACCATAAATCATTAAACTTTTGCCGAGGAAGTATTTTGATTATTCCAGTAGAACTATATATAAAAAAAAATAAACTTTTATTGCTAAATATAGGTGTCACCGAAAAATGTTAAGTGTAGACCAACATTTTTTTTTGAAATTGCATTGCGAAACTATCTTACACTCGAGATTATTTGGAAATACGGGTAGCTCGATCTATTTTATAAAAAAAAAACGTTTTTGATGCTAGGCATATTTTTTGAAAACACGCTTTATTATTTTATTTTAAATATATGTATTTAATGTCCGAATGTTTATGTAGTATGTATGTAGGTATGTATAAATATTAAAATATATATTTGTGATGTTGAAAAATGCTTTGAATCTACTTGTCCGTAAGGATTACCACAAGTATATAAATAAAAATCTATGCAAATGTAAAAGTGTAAATTAGTATTTCATTTAATGATTAAAGTTGGCAATATTTTGTTTTGCGTAATTTCTACTCTACTACATACTACTTGAAACGTTTGGAACATTACTTTCCAATTTACGCCATACCACATTACACATTTCTCGCACCAAAGCCTTCTCGCCGTCATCCATTTGGTCTCTTGAATTTTCAATGAGTCCACTGAGACGATCACGTTCCAATTGTTCACGTACTTCGAGTACCTGGAGTGCACGTACCACAGCTTCGGGGCGACTCGAAATCGGATCGATGAGCGCATTTTGTGCCGATTGTTGTTGCTGCTGCTGCTGTTGCTGTTGTTGCTGCTGTTGTTGGGGTTGCGATTGCGTTTGCGCCTGAGGTTGGGAATGCTGTGAAACTATGATATTGGCTGTTGGTGTCGTAGTACCCACACGTTCCTCTTCCAATTGTCGTATACGTCGTTCCAACGATCTTACATACTGAACCGTTTGATCACTAAGCGTTGTGCGTAGTGTGGAATCCTAGATGTGTGGAGAAATTGGAAGTTGACAAACGTGTTTTAGGATTACATTTGATTTTTTTTTTTAGGAAATATACAAATTGAAGGTGGAATCGTTTGTTAAGGTGAATGAATAACTTGCTGTCTCCACAGGCAAAAGCTTTTATCTTGATAATGTAGTCAGGCAAAATTTTGCTAATGGAGACTCCATATTGCTCTTGGCAAGCAATAGATATCAGAGCTTATGTCTTGATAAATATTGCCAGCAATTTGGTACTTTGAGAGCTACATTTTCATATGCGCGATAACTTCGTGGCAAAAATTGAGCTTTTTTCTATTAAAATATTTGTTATCACGTATTTGGGTGTGAAATTGCATATTTTTACAATTTTTTAAGTGATTAAATAAAAATGCCCACACAAATATTGCCTCTGATAAAATTTATGTGGGGCAATAAAAATGACAGTTGGTAGGCAAAAACTTTTGCCTGTGGAGACAGGCCCTAAGGCAGAGGAATAAAGAATGCAGGCTAATACCGTAAGTTAAGTGTTGCAAGAAAATCTTGTGAAATTAGGTTTGTTCGTCGAGCAAAAAATTTTTAAGAATTTGTAAGAATCATCATGATTTTTGCCCAAATCGCGCTTGTGCAGACCAAAAAATAGTGTCCATCACTCACAAACAGAGAGCGCAAAGTGACAGTTTTCCTGAGAGAAGTTGCAAATTCTTGCGGGAAAAACTTTAGCCAGCAAGAATTTGAAATCACGAAAATCATAAGAATGTGGCACATGGTAGCATTTTTGTCTAGGATAATTTGAATAAATAAGTTCGTTAAATTTAAAAATGTATAAACCCGAGCGATTTTTTTATGAAAAAAAGAAGTAAATACTTGTTCCAATGATTTGAACTTAACACGGCTGAAAAAAAATTATATTCGCAATCGCCATGCAATTGCAACCAGAGTCGATTTAAGAAACTCGACAGCTAGTGCGATAAAGAAATTGTAATGTATGTTAAAGAAAGTCAGAACAACAAGAAATATACATATATATCCTATTTTTGTCCATCTGAAAGAATTTCAAAAGTTCTATAAAAATTTATTGTTCGAATCGCAAACGTGGATACCAGCTGGCAGGGAAACTTGCAAATTCCGGCAATTAGCGTTCGTGCAGAAATTTGCAAGTTTCTCAACATGAGGGAGAACTTGAGAGAATTTTTTCTTACTCTCTGATATTTTCAGTGTTGGATAATTCTTGCTGGATTTTCGACGAGCAAACCTATTGACATGAGGGGGGGGGGGGTGTCCTACGAAATTTTGTAGATATATACTCGTATCAACCAATACTCCGTTTGTAATATACAAAATGTATCAGGGTGCGGGGATCTAACTATCATTTCCTTATGTAGTTTATTTTCGTACACTAGTCTCCACCCTATCTTTTAATAAAATATATTTTTTCTGCATTTCCCAGTTTTTAAAAGCAAACATGCATATGTACAATAGTTAAAATACAAATACTAAATACTATATGTATATACTTACGGGCATTTGACGCTCATAATTTCGTAACGCAGAAAGAGTTTCCTCCGCATTTGTGCTGGAACTACTGCCATCACCATCATCGCGTAATGGATTGCGCACTGAGGCACCACAATTGGCGCAAAGTGCATTCGCCGCAATATGTGTACGTTCTTCATCCAAATATAGGCACAATTCCTTCAACTCCAGATTATCGGTAATCAATTCTTGTTGTTTATCGTCGAGTTGACGTAATTTGTGCTTTAGTCGGAGTACAAATAGTATTGTTTTTTTTTTTTATAATTTACTTTGCATATTTTTTCTACATCGAATCTACCTGATAGGCTGCCACTTCCTGTCTCATCACACTGGCCGTATATCTTCCGAAGCGTTGCCATTCTCTTGCGAGTTTTCGCCCTTTCTGTCGATCGTCGTCAAGAAAGCAGCATAGGTCGCGTAATTCCTGATTGTCATCGAGTAGACGTTGATTTTGTTCCTTCAACACACGCAGCTCATTGATAAGACCCTATGAATTTGATTAAACAAATTTTCAAATATGTAAATACCTATAAAACTAGGTTCGGGTCCTTATCTTTTAAACACAACGCATACATACTCCCATTGGAGTAAAGACGGTTGTGTGGTTCAAGCTAATTGGAAAAGCAAGAAGGTCGTAATGGTACAATTGTCACCACATGGCTCAACTCATAACGCAAATTAATTGTACACAGTTCGGTGCAAAACTGGTTCGGTTCTTAGCACACGTTATTTGTTGAGCCTTTGGTCAGGTGTATTTTCCAATGGGAGAAGAAGCTTTACTGCAATTTGCAGGATTTTGTGCAGCCACACAGAAAATGCTAAAGGTGATGAGCTGTCTCCTACCATAAAATAAATAATAAATAAATGGGTTCGAAACCTACTTTTTTATTTTAAGTGGGGTTTTTATTTTTTCTCTCTGAGGTCAGCATTTATTTTAAAGGACTTTGTGATTTCAAAGATATGATTGATTCCAAAAATTATTCAAAGGATTCAATGCAATGTAGAATAAAATTTTGAGTACCACATGCGAGAGGAAATTTCTTTAGAATTTAGAAAAATTAAATTTTTTTTGGATTCACAAGGACGAGTAGGTAATTTTTTAAGGTGATAAAAATAGAAGGACGCAATTCGAGTTTATATAAGTCCTTAATTTATAATTTTTTCATAAACAAATATTGCGAAATTTCAAAGATAAAATTTTAAAAAGACATTTTCAATACTTA